AAGCACCGTCAGATATGACTTCGGACAACCATGCCCTCAAGAGATTCTCAGAGAGTGTCGAGGCATTGGAAGATGGACGATACGAGGTTGAACTGCCATGGAAAACGAATCAACCAAAATTACCAAACAATCTTGGAGAGGCTTTCTGACGCTTGAAATCAATAGTGAATAGCCTCCACAATCATCCGGAAGGAGATATTCTCACGAAATACGACAGGTTGATTAGACAACAATTAGAAAGTAGTATTATCGAGAAAGTAAAATCTCCTCCAGAAAATAGCGACAAAGTGTCGTATTTACCACATCATCAGGTAATCACACCATGCAAAACCACAACCCAAATAAGAATTGTTTTCGACTCCAGTACGAAAGATTCTAATGGGAAATCTTTAAACGACAATCTTTTCAGAGGTCCTATCTTATTAAATGATTTGACAGGAATACTGATAAGATCCAGAACCCTCTCGACAATAATTACAGCTGATATAGAGAAGGCTTTCTATATCAGCTGTAATTATTGTCGAGAGGGTTCTGGATCTTATCAGTATTCCTATCAAATCATATAAGAAGATAGGACCTCTGAAAAGATTGTCGTTTAAAGATTTCCCATTAGAATCTTTCGTACTGGAGTCGAAAACAGTTCTTATTTGGGTTGTGGTTTTGCATGGTGTGATTATCGGATGATGTGGTAAATACGACACCTTGTCGCTATTTTCTGGAGGAGATTTTACTTTCTCGATAATACTATCTAATTGTTGTCTAATCAACCTGTCGTATTTCGTGAGAATATCTCCTTCCGGATGATTGTGGAGGCTATTCACTATTGATTTCAAGCGTCAGAAAGCCTCTCCAAGATTGTTTGGTAATTTTGGTTGATTCGTTTTCCATGGCAGTTCAACCTCGTATCGTCCATCTTCCAATGCCTCGACACTCTCTGAGAATCTCTTGAGGGCATGGTTGTCCGAAGTCATATCTGACGGTGCTTCTATTCCTACTCGTTCTAAGCACCAGAATTGCTCAATGTCTTCATTCTTAGCGATGGCATTAACCGTAGTCACGTTCAGCCTAGATTTTCGATTCAACATTCCCGAACCTGCTAAGAATGTCCCTATTTTACTTCTGTATAAATGGAATTCTGAATCATTGACTTCCATCGTTCTGGATTTCCCAGTTCAAATTGCTCGTAGAAATCGATGCCAATCGATGTCTCTGGTTTCTCCGAAACAAGAGGTATGGATACGCAATGGTTCTTTCTTAAACTTTCGTAGTGCGTTCTGCTTAATACTGCTCTGTGCATTGGCTGAATCAATTGTTTCGTTGTAAACGCTCTGATCCTTACTGATTCATTGGTGAGAGTTTTTATATCGGACTGTACTATCGTAGTTCGTTTTGATAATGGATGATAATTACCAAAGGTATTTATCATTATCTCGTTGCCAAATCGAAATAACTTAAGTCTCTCTACCAGTGCATCTGAAATATATGAGGACTCCTGTGTCAAATAATATAGTCGTTGCTAACTCTTTTGTGCTTTTATCGTCAGGATTTCGTATTTTCGCTCTACAACACATCAGTAGCGTCGTACTGCTTCTTTCAATCGTTCCTGGAGTCACACAGTTCGTTACAATATTCTGTTTTCCCATTTGTCCATCATCCCATTTGTTGCATAATGCTGATAAATGTCGTCCACTACAGTGGAAACATTTCGGTAACCGTTTACATTGATTTGCGATGTGGTTTCTACTTAGACACTTGAGGCATAATTTCTTCTCTTTCACCATTTTATTTCTTTCATCATAATTTTTAATCTTTTCGCATTCGTCGTTCCAGTGGGAACCGTTAAAAAAAACACTCTTCCTTAATCGATTGTTCGTTATGTATGCCGAAGTTTATCGTATGTCCACCTTTGATTTTTGAGAATGTCGTGGTTCCTTCGGTTTGAATTCGTCGTTCGATGTCACGTGCCCTTGACGTCTTATGTGATCGTGAGCTTCAATCATGTCGTTTTCGTATAATACATTTTCTAACAATTCTCGCAATTTTGTCATTGTCCATTCCGTATCTACTGCTTTTAATCGAATAATTTTGCTGTAAATCCCTCGAGGTAATACAAATTCTACCACCATCAATAGTGCTTCTGAATTAATGTCGTGGTTTGCGGCTTCCAACTGCGATAATATCGTCAATAATTGTCGTACTGCTTCAAAGTCACCTTTTATTTGATGGATATTCTTTAATCTACTCAATAATACATTATATCGATTTTCCCTTTGACCATATTGCTTTTCTAGCGCGTTTAATGCAATAGGGTAATTTTCATCGGTCACTGCGTTATGTGAAACGACCATTCTACCTTTTCCCAATAAATAACAACTTTTGTACATTCGGAATTTTTAGTTGGCCCACCATCATTTTAAATGATGAAATAAATGAATAAATTGTTCCCATTTATTGGGGTCTCCACTGAATTCGCACAAAGATATCGGTGATAGATGAGATATCTCTGTCGTCCTCTGGTTCCTTTGTAATTCCATTAAGCTGGATATGATTTCACACTTATTATGTCGTTTCTTTGCACTTTTCTGTCTCGACTCTAATTCTATAATCGTTGCTTGAATATCGTAAACCTGTTGAAATATTTCTTCTACATTAATCTCTTACAAAAATTTCTTTTGAACTGATTCTCTCTTAGTCGTTTGCGTTATACTCGACCATTGTTGTCCTAATTCGTCATCTGTTTAACGAAGAAGTCCAACTTTTCTTTCTCGGCTTGCATAATATCCCAGTCATAGACTCAAGTTGCTTCGTCTTCCCTCATGCGTTGTTGCACTTGGGAAATGTAACGGTTTTTCAATTTAATGACGCACTCGTCGATTTTCTTTAACGATTTTCTTTTCAATTTAAGTTGTGCTTTTATCATATCAACCATTTCGATATATTCGCTTCTTCGTAATCAATAAAAGTGTAATAATAGAAAAATATATGATTAATCTAACGTAAATCCATTTAATCGGTACTGTTGATTTGTTTCAAACTTTGTTCACCGGCTGAGCCCCATGTAACGAAAAAGGGGATTCGTTTATCGTTTAACCTTCAAGTCATTATCCCTTTACATTAAAAAAGATATCGTAATCGTAACTCGATCGTTTGCCGCGTGCCTCAAACTTGGGTAATTAAACCTTAATTTAGATAACAATAACAATTACACTTTTATTAAATAACGATATATTACATTATAATATACCAATGACAAAAAAAACAGCCCATCAAAACAAGAAAAAATCGAGCGATAAATAGCTTACCTACGATCCCCCGCCTCTCCCCTACCAACACAAATAAAATAATAATTTGTTCCCCAAAAAAGAGAAGAATCGATACAAAATTGCGGCCTCAGCCACGCTTTTGTTGGTCTTCATCGATTCTGCTCATTTTTGAGCACACCTATCATCTGTAAGTCCATATATCGCTGGTTCGCCTATACCCCCAAAATCTTTCCTAACTGTATCAGTCTTGATCGGCCCTCTTCACTTTCGATTCCATTCATCTTAGGTTTTGAAAAAAAGGCGACTCTCTGTTATATTATTAATGCAGATGGTTTCTGAGTGAAGTGGATGCAATCATTTGAGGTTTTATCCGTTTGGAGAATCAGTAAAATGTACCTTAGATAAATAGATATCTTAGACATGAGTGGTCAAATGTAGATAAATTCTTATTATCCTTCACTTCCATCAGCCATGTCTCATAGCCATATTGCAAGACAAATGAATTGCAGCAATATAGAGCAGACTTTCGTGTTTTCTTGACGGCTGCATAAAGCTCTCGTAAATCGAAGGAACTCATTTCCAGCTGCCACTATTAGAATTGCAATTTCGTTTTTTGGGTTAGAGTGGACCGAAGATTTTTAAAGACATTTGTTCAACCGACGAACTGACGAACCGATGAACTGATAAAAATGTGTTTTATCTGCTTCTGGTATAAAAGACAAAAGAGCTTTCATTTTATTTCGGTTTTCGCTGCAGTTATTGGCAGTTACTTTGTTTAGCATTATTTGCATTTCATCATAACTATCAGGTAAAAAAGAATTATCAGCATATTCATGATCTGTGATACGATGCTCTGGACTGATTTGTACACTTCTTGAATGCTGACAAATCCATTATCCAGTCTAACGCATCGTTGAATACTATATGTTATTAATTTTAGTTTTAATAATTTAAGTTTTTGTATAATAGAGATATTTTTATATTCGTTTATTCTGTATATTTCTTATTATTATATATCTATATTCTGCTAGCAGTTCGCAGTTATAAACATATGGACGTATGGCTTGATTGAAGTTATTAAAAAGACTCGAATGCTTTTTTCCAACCGTTTATTATTAATTCGCTTACGACGATCAGTTTTTCTTATTTTCATAACTGAAAATAATTGTTTGCAAGGATACACGTGATACATGTTGTTGAGCATGGAAAGGCAACAATCGAAAATTTTCTGCTAGAAAATAATTGTTATGAAAAATAAAATCTCATAATCGATGTTTTGAAATTTATTTTTTAATTCGGTGTTCCTGTAATAAATCAATTATTTCCATTTGCTTTTTTCTCCTGCATATTTTCACATTTACACTAAAAAATGACGAATGATATCTTTGAAAAGTTCCATTTTCCCGAAAGAGTTTAAAACTTATTACGTATAGGTTGTTTTTCGCCCTTGTAGAGCCGTATTCGAACCAATCAAATGCTGAGTATTTCAATGCCGAATGCAAATTCATTCATCCATTTTTTGTCGTTAATTGTGGAAAAGAATAATCTGTCTTTATAAGATGTCGGAACAATAAGACAGTCTCTTTGAACTGCGTGAAATAAGTAATAGAAAGTTGAAAAATATTAGAGAAAAAAAAAATAGATGGAAAATAATCCACTATTAAACAAAAATAACACCACATTTATCATTAAGTTATGCAAAAAAATTTACGTGCAAGTTAGTAAAAAATAAGTAAAATTGATAAAAGAAGAATATCTAAGAATTCTTCCACATAAACTCAGAGGGAAGGCAAAAATCTTATTTCCTATCTTCATTGCATCAAAACTATTAAAATCTTTCCAAATATATATATAAGACGACAGATATATTTAAGGAATTGAGGAAGCATACGACAATGAATGCGTTATCTTCGACTTAATTTTATTTCCATCATGAATATTATCAAATTTTTGAAGAACTAAACTGATAAATTTGATAAAATTTTGAAAGGTATTTTTAATGGTTTTGTGATGGAAATCATACCTTAATTGGATGATATTTTAACGAAGATATATTCGATGAAGAAAATTTTCCATAATTTTTCTATTTTTCGGTATTTTAATAGGCGTAAAAATACATAAAATTTTAGCATGAAAAAAGGCCAAAAATTTCTCAGCACAGATCAGAGAAATCATTCTTTCTTTTTATATTTTTATAATTTTAACAAAATAAAAGTTAAGATAAAAGCTAATTGTTTCTAGCACAATTGAACGTTTAAATAAGGAAAACTTGAGCCCACTTCAGAAAATTTATTTCGAAATTTATACATTTTTATATTTCATCATCATATTTATTATTGTTGTTTAAAATCATATGTTCTCCCCGATATAATCACTCGGCAACTCAAAGATAACAAAAACTATAACATAACAAATTTTTGCAAGATTCTGTAAAAATTGTATCAAACATTTAATAAGATTCGAATTGCATAGCACTTTCAGGACGTATTCTAATCATATTCTTCTCAGTTTTCATATCCATCATAATTTATTTACTTATTTATTTGAAGTAACGTGCATTAATAGCAACAAAATAAGACGTAAAATGAGAAAAATTATTAATAGCGATACCTTTTGTATCTTATTGATATAAGATACAAAAGGAAGGTGACCAAAAGCTTATAATATTATGGATAGATACTCGGATAATAATGGATTTCAAACTTTCTGTGTAATGCGTAACTTTAAATAATATCATATTTTTTTAAAAACAATTGAATAGAGTGATGGGCAAATTAAGTCATTCGGCAGTTTTTTCCAGTAATTAATGGTACGTATGAAAAAAAATCATGAATTCTTAGTTTAGTATTAAATATAAGTTTTAATAATTTTAGTCCATAAGATCTTCTTGGGTTCAAATTTAACATTTAATTTGTAATTAGCGCATCTTCAACTTCTCAATTACTGCTGGCTTCGTCTATATGAGCAAAATATTTCCAAGCTGCTTGATCCGATACCATTCCCGGTAGCAGAAGCCAGACCTTTTTCTGCCCTCTAATTCTGGTCCACATATATCTTCAAAACCCTTCCTAACTGTGTTATATCGATCCAGGTTTTGATTGGCCCTCCTCGTTATTAACGTTATCCAACACATGCTAGTAACGAGATATGTGTTAGAGTAGTAGGTATAGAGGTTTATGCCCTTAATATCCCCCACTCTCATTGGCTACTTTTCTTCTGCACCTAAATCGTGTATACTGTAGTTTTACGAAAATTCGTCTTAAGATTAATACGAAAAAATTAATTTCGCAGTGATACCGTAGAAGCTTCATCAGAGGAAGGAACTCATTTCTAGCTGCATTGCAATTTCGTTTTTCATTTGGTCGTTTGATATTTAAAATCTGAGACTTCATCATTGTCGTGAACGGTTGTGTGATCTTCTCTCCGTCAATAATTCATTAATTTTGCTATATTATATTGTGCTTCCCTAAGAAGGAATATATTATTCGCCTTAATATATTGATTATTCTTCTTGAAAGTATATTCTTTTTATCGTTTTATATTAAATGCTTATAAAGATAAAAGAAATTTTTGTTTGTGACACTTATTCAAATGGTACCGAAAAAGATTGCAACTAATAAGGTCGCTTCTGTCAATGATGTCGGCTCCTTAACTATTGAGAACCTGAGAACGCAGCTAGTTTCCATTACTGAAAAATATGAAAAGCTCTAATCTAACAAGATCTAATTTTTCATTTAACCAGATCTCGTGAAATATTAACAAAGGTCAACGAGGAACTTAAGAATTATATCAATAAACTGAAAGAGTCGTCTTTGAATAGCAACTTTGATCCTCCTAATTTCTCAACTGCACAAATATTGCAAACTATTGACGAATATTTTGAAAAAAAAGAAAAAGAACCATATCTAGTTGGCATAAATGTTCCGGAGAAATCTACTGATGAGGAGACTGCTACTGCCGATAGGCTTTTAGCTGAGAATATTGTAGTAGCAGCTGGGATCCAGACTGGCTACATTAAGAAAGTCCGACGACATGGAAGAAAGGGGTCAGGCAAGCCACGACTAAGATTCGACTTGAAGATAAGT